GCAACTGAGCCAAGCAGGCAATTTCCAGTGCCAACAATATGGGATATAAAAAATAGAGATGGGTTTGGAGTCATTATTTGATGAGTGCACTAAAGCAGGACATGTGTCTTTGTATTTGTCCTACAACACATTTGATTTATATGCAGGTAGGGAATAAATAACAAAAACAAAAATAATGAAAAAGCTGAGGACAAGAATAGCTACAGTGCACAGTGAGCTTGATATATCTTATGATATAATCTGCCTTATCTAGCCTTGATTACATAGAATCATAGAATGGTTTGGGTTGGAAGGGACCTTTAAAGATCATCTAGTCCAACTCCCCTGCCATGGGCAGGGACGTTTTTCACTACATCAGGTTGCTCAAAGCCCCATTCAACCTGAATTTAAACATTTTCAATGATGGGACATCCACAACCTCTCTGGGCAACCTGCTCCATGTCTCAGCACACTCATTGCAAAAAATTATTTCCTTATATCCAATCTAAATCTGCCTTCTTTCAGTTTAAAATTGCCACCCCTTGTCCTATCACAACAGGCCCTGGTAAAAAGTCTTTTTTCATCTTTCTTAGAAGCCCCCTTTATATACTGAAAAGCCACAACAAAGGTCTCCCCAGAGCCTTCTCTTCTCCAGGCTGAACAATCCCAATTCTCTCCACCAGTCTTCACAGGAGAGATGTTCCATCCCTCTGATCGTTTTCATGGTCCTCCTCTGGACCCACTCTAACAGGTATTTTGAAACAATTCCCCTGAATTATTTTTGGCTGTTTAAACTGAAGTCATTAAAATCTCCTGGACACACTGGAAAATTAGCGCATGTTCAAAGCTTTCATACCATGCATCCTTACGTTGTCGTTAGAAACTCTCACTGGCCTCACGGCCTTCCATTTGCCCCTACCATACTACACATTTTGTACTTCATTTTTTCTGATGCTCCAAAATTGGATTTTCAAATTTGGAAGAAAAATACAGTCAGAGAAGAAACTAGGCAAAAACAAGGAGAAGATGAAATATAAAAACAGGAGAAAGGTCAATTTGGGAAAAGAAGGGAGGGAAACGACCAGGTTGGCACTATTGGCAAGCTTTGTAAACTGACTATTCATCTCCTTTTCCCTTCTTTTTCTACCCTGAATAAGGACAGCAAAATAGATATTTGACTTGCAAAAGTACATCATGATACTGCATGACTGGGCAATAAGAGGACAGATGAAACTGAATATAAATTTATGCAGAATAATTCAAGTGCTGGAAAAAATATACCAACTATAGATACACACTGATGGGTTCTGAACTAGATATTACCATTCAGGAAAGAGTTCATAGAGTTATAATAGGCAATTTTATGAAAATGCCATCTCATTGTTCAGTCACAGTCAAAAATAAAAACAGAATAATCCACAACACTAGAAAGGAAAAGAGAACAAACTAGGAAATTTCATTATGCCAGGGGATAAATCTGCAGTGTCCTCGGATCATGTGCAGTTGTGCTCTCACCATTTTTAAAAGGATACAGAACAAAGAGTTGCACAGAGTGACATAGAAGATCAAAGGCATTTAAGGACTACTAAACAGTCTTCAGCCTGAAAAATATCTTAAGGGCAGATATGGGAAGAGCCTATAAATTCTTAAGCAGAATGAAGAATGAAATTGTTCACTTGTGTCTTCCAGTATTAGGAAATACCAAATGAATCTAATAGGTGACAGGTTCCAAGTAAGCAAAGTTCTTCATACAATCCATATCACATTGTAGAACTGATGCAAGATAGGGTCAGCACTCAAAAGTTGCATAGATCCAAAAGGCAATTTAAAAACTCATGGAAGAAAAATATGTATATTAAATACAAAGTAATGCTGTGGCTCAAGAATTCCTTGGACTGCCTACCAGAGAAGGCTGGGAAAATATACACATCCAGGTATCAACAGCATTTAAGCTTCTCCATAGAGTTAGGCATAAACCTAGCCTTAGTGAAATCTCAAATCCCTTCCTGAGAAGAGGGGAGGGGCTTTGAGAAAAAGAAAAGTGAAAGAAAACAACTAAATGCCAAAAGGAATGAAGTGACATGAAATTAAATGAAACAAAGTGGAGGGCTTTAGGGGTCAGAGGATAAAAACTATAAAACTAGGTGACTAGGGGAGAGACAAAGCAGAGCACCTGGCTGCTAGCCACAGTCAAAACCAATACTGGCCTAGAGAGACATATTATCTGAGCTGGTACAGGCCTTCCAGTGTACCCACATACAGTTAGCCTAAAAAAGAGAGAACATATTTTGGGGTATGACTCAGCAAGCCAATGTGCCTCTATTAGCACAACACTTGAGCATGTGCTCAATATAACCATAAGGTCCATGGAAGTTAATGAAGTTAATGTAAAATATACTTCACATCAGACAGGCACAGAAATTTTATGTAGCACAGAAAGATAAAATCTGAACTTGCTGCAGGGCCTCTTGAAAAGATGCAATAGGCCAATAGACCAGCGTGGCACAGACCCAAGAGGGTATGACAGAACAGAAAGCTAAAAAGTAGGAATCAATGCTACACATAAAGATATGATGCAAAAGCAGGAGTAGGATATGTATCTAGTGCCTAAGAGGAAGCCGAGATCAAGAGAAGGTGTACCAAACAAATATTCTAGTGTTTATTCCAAGGCATAAACAAAGTTATAGTCTAGTAATGGCAGAAGACATAAATTTGACACAGAACAAAATAATTAAGTGGGAAGGTGAGCTCTGTGCTATGGGATGAAGGAACGGACAGGGAAATCTGGTGGCAGCAGGTAAGAATGACAGTGGAGGCAAAAGTCCATGCCAGAGTCTCAATTGCTTTCTCAAGAAACTAGTAAAATATTAAGACAAGGAAGAAGGAGAAGGTTGGGTAGGCTGTGGGAGTCACAAAATCATGGCAGGTACTGGAAGCAGCTATCTAGAAAAATCAAAAACTGCTGGAGACTAGTGCCTGTTATGACAAAATGGACAACCAGCAAAAACTTTTGGAATTTCTTCTTCTCAAAGAGAACACTTTTAGTCATTCTACCATTTACTATAGATTTTTCAAACACTCAAGGTATTCAAGAGTTGATAAACTGTTCATCTAAAACAAAAAAAAAACCTTTCAAAAAAAGCTAAAGTTTCAATTTTGAAATCTCTTTGACTGCAATTTAAAAAAAATAAAAGTTTACAATTTTGAACTGGAACAAAACTTTAAATGCTAGCTGAATGAAACGTATGTAGTGACTCCAAATTATTTTTCTATTGGATTTTCTAGAATTAGTTAAAAAATTACATCAAATTTTTGCATTTTTTCAAATTGCCAAGAAACTAAAAAAAAAACTTGAACTTGCTAAATCTGCGTATCTCAAAGACGCTCTTGAAAAAATATAACTCAAACCACAAAGATCACCTTTTCCCAAACTGCACACTACCATGAAATTGGAAGCATGCCTGAAAAGTCAGAAAATTAAGCCTTCTTTTGGAATAAAAATGATGAAAAGACCATCACAGAAATGCCTTGGGAAATCTCCCGACCATACCGAGAGGATTTCAGCTTAAGGACTTCTTCAGAACACTGTACAGCTGTGACCAGCAGGGAGGCAGATGGAGAACCAGGGAGACAAAAACTGTGCAGCAAGTAATGTGTGTAGCCCCCATCCTTGCTCACTAGCGATATCCCAAAGCACTTTTCTTCCCACACTAGCAGATAAATAAAATGAGTATTATTTAGAAGGGATAACCATATGGTTTGTATAATCTTTATATGCTATTTTCAGTACATTATTATAATACATGGTAGAGACCTACAAAATAGGATTAAAATTTGTTTTATGTTTTACAACCAACCTGTTCCATTTGGGTACAGAGACAGAGGTGAGGGCACTGTAACAGGGTATGTTACTTCCACATGCTGTCCCTACCTTAATACTCACAACAATGTAATTGTTTCGTGCGGTACATATTATTGGGTTCCCAAGCTCAAATAAATATTTATCAGTCTTGCTGATAATTATTTGCTAGTAAATATTTGTTTAAATTGTGAAGTCCTGACTTTTTTTTAATATTCCATTTCAGCCTACATGCATCTGTCTGCTTTGTGCCTTCCCAGTGCGGAATGCTGTAATATGTAGCAAAAAAGACAGGAAAAATGCAGAAATACCAGCTACGGGAGAGAAAATCAACCTAAAAACTGAAATCCATTACCCTTAAACTGTGTCCTTTCGCTTTCCAACTCCTTCGTTTCCTCGCACCCTTTCTGTGATAATGAAGTTATCAGAATCCAGAATCCATTTTTAGTCTAAATTAAGGTATCCTCACTGCTGCAGGAACAATACCGATCAGGGTTTTTGTCTGGATATAGTGTATGCTTTCCAATTTTCACTGTCTTTTTTTTTTAGCATATACAAAACATTGCAGAAGCACATGTAAATCACCACTCTCTTGCCCAGTGGAACAGAATTTCAGTTACCAATGCCAACAGTTGCCTACAGAAGGCATCTACATCTGGTCTGCTACATCCAAGACAGCAACCACAGGCACACGTTTTGCTTTGTTTGGAATTCATCACTGTGGTGCAGCTGAGCCTCAGATAAAAAAAACTATGAGCCTCCGGGGTTAAACAGACAAATGTTTTCAGTCACAACAACTTTTTTTGCGGGGAAGCAAAGCCATAACAATGTATGTAAGAGGTTTTATGTAAATCATTAAAGGCCTACTGACTTAAATTGTTACTAACACCGAGAAGTTGCTTAATGTACACTTGAGAGTGTGAAGGCAGAACAGATGAATAGTCTCACAAATCTTATTTGCTCAGTTGGAAAAATGCAAAAATATTTGTAAAAAAAAAGAAAAAAGAAAAAATCTGATTCCTGCTCATTGCCATTCAAATTTATAAGTCAAATTAATATTCATCATTTCTGAGTGCATGGTGGTTTTTACTGGGAGGCAGAAAGGGCAGATACAATCAGTAAACAAATTTACTTTCAAATCCACACAGAATTCAATACCTACCTAGCCACTCGTTGAATTTTTTTACTTCACTAGGAAGTCCCAGCTCAGTAAAATCACCAGCATGTATTAACACATCTCCATATGGCATTTGGATGGGATCAGTTCTTGAGTGAGTATCAGAAATACAGACAAATCGTGTATATCCTGGAGGTTTGGGAGCATCATGGGGCACCGGATCAACCCTGCAGGAAATGCATCACAACAAGGTTATAAAGTACTTACGTACTTCTTAGTGTCTGTTTTGCAATGCTATTTTTTACCTTTACAGAAGATTACACAGACTTCCAGATCTGTCTGATGGAAGGGATTTATTAAAACAAACCTAACACTAATGGGAGGTGTAAAAATTCTTGATGTTCACATCACAACATTTTCAGTATTTGTTGGGTAGATGGATTAATTTAAAGAGATTAAGGAAAAGAGATTGAACTATGGCAGTAACTCTGAAACAAATACTTACAAATAAATCAAAGGCATTGCCAGTTTCAAAGGAACAGTACTATCCCATTTCATTGTTTAAATATGATTACATGGTACACAGGGAAAAGATTTATTTTAGATACATAAATACATTTAAATGCATTTTTTCTAATTATAACTTTTTTCTGCAAGTTATATAATTCCAGCAAATTTAATTAACACATTTTGGAGATATGTTTCAGTGTGTTAATGCAAAGCAAGATAAGAACTCTCCTGACAACTGCTGTAAATGTATGTTCAAGCCTGACTATTGTTGGGACAAATGTGGCAACTTTCTGGGCTTAATTATACTAAACCAAATCAGATGCTGTGAGGGGTGAGGCTGCATTGTTCAGAGCCCAATCTCAATATTCAAAACTGAGGAAACTAAAAGATCTGACCCAGTTTGATGAGACTTACTTATGATTTAGAAGAGGAAAGCAGAGACCACCTCTCTCTTCTATATGAGGAATACTGATTTTTCAACTCGGTCTTTTTACCCTCAATCCATATTTTGTTAGAATATATAGAAGCAAATGTATCTATATGCAGCTATACCATATCTGCTATTCCAACTAGGGAATTCTGGTGGAGTAAAAACAAAAAGCTACAGATGCAAGAGTTATATTTATGTCACTAGAAACCAGGAAGATATACACAATTGTTACAAATTATTTTAGTTTTACAACATTTATTTTGAAAGGGCAAATAAAATTAGTTTCGTTCACTGTTGCAGTATGTAATACATATTCCTATCCCTTGCAGGTTGTGCTTCAATTCAGGATCTTACTTCTATACAAATAAACTCAGAAAAATAGTTAAGAGATCTTTGCTATTGATAATACTACCCGTTTACTGCCTAGCTTGTCAGAAGTCATTTTATTGCTTGAAAGACATACAATAATAATCTTTAATCATGCAATCTCTAAGTCAAAGAAGAATTCTATGGAATTTATAGGTGGATAAACTGATGTGGTGTTGACAACTCCACAAGACTAGTGAGAGAGCGAGGAATAAATCTAAAACATTCAAATCTTGTTAAATATAGAAAAAGTTCTTATCGTTTTCTACAATATAACTAGAAAACCAGAGTATGAACAAATGAGTTTGTACCCATCCTTTCTATACCTTTTAGGAAGAAGAAATGTTGGGGTTTTTACAGCAGTACTGGAGAAACAAACAGCCTTTCAGTATAAGTACCTTGTAGGCATCTTTCTGAAGTTCCAGCTTTTGACCAGAAAGTAACCAAACATGAGGCAAGGAGTAAAACCAGCTGTGATCAAATCATACCTAATGAATACTCAGCAGTATGTACACACTAGCGGGATATGAAAGCGAGCACATACTGGAAATTGTAAAACTTGTCTGGCAAAGAGTAGAACGTTTGGACCCAGAGAGAGAGCAGCTGCAAACACTGCGTCTAGGGCTGAGGGAGTGCATATGTTGCGAGAGGACCACAGGCACATGTAGAAGGGCAGATGAAAAAAAAGAGAGTGAGCTGCAGGGGGAGTGAGGCATAGGAGGTCACAGCCTCAAACAGTGCAGCTTCATGACTGCCATCGCACATTAAAAATGCCTCTGTTTTGGAGAGAAGAGAGCTGCCATAGAGCGAGCTCCATGGGTGGTGGGTGGAGGCAGCATGGGTGCAAAGGAATACGGATGGTGAATGGTGGGGTTTTTAGACTAGTGAGTCTTGTCATAAGGTGCGCGCTGTATGAAGGGTAATGCATTCAGTTCATGGAGTTCCCCCTCAAAATGGATAAAAATGAGGCAGAGCTGACCCTGGCTATCATTGTAGCCATTTAAGCTAAAAAGATTAAACATCAGTCCAGTAACAAATTTCTGATTATTGCTCTCCCTGCCCAGCACTTCCCAAAGTGAGTTACAGGTCATATTAGTAAGCCAGGTTTAAATTGTGCATACTACCCTGGCACAACATAAGGATATGGACTGGTCTAAAACACCATTTTTTGACTTTTCATGGTAAAGTATCCTTTAAAGCAGGTGCTGCTTCTCCTTCAGAAATCTTTCATAACTCAGCATAGCAGTAAGTTGGGTGTTGGGGAGTAGCATGCATTTCACATGTTGCTCCTCTGAAGCTGAATGGAAAAAACCAACAGACTTACCATGACAACCCATGCCACACATAATACACATGCTTTTTCTTATAGTTTGCATGGGGATGGGGAAGATGTGTACAGTATTTTCCTGGTTGCTGAGGTATGTATAGCTTTTAAATCCTGTGCCAGGGAATTTTCATGGGAAAAAGGCATCAATACAAAAAACACAAATAAATGAGATGCAGATTTTCATGGTGAAGTGATACGCACACACTGAGGCCGGATGTAGGTAAAAACATATGTCAAGTTTCACAAAAGCATCTAAGTTGTATTACTGGAAATAATTTCTGAAGGCTCAATCCCCATATTCTTGTGTAACGTGTTCCCACAGCAGCTGTCACACCAACACCCAATGCACTGCTTGCAGCATGAGCAGAGGCATAAAGATCTCCTGATTATTTTCGTGCGAATGCTTTTGTTTTTCTTGAAACCAGTATGAAAACTTGCAGAGAAATTGAAAAGCAAAGTTAAAAAATCTCAGAGCAAAACCCTGCCAGAGGCTAGTTTATACACTAGATTTCAGTGGTTTCACAAAGGAGCAAGACAGGAACTTCCCAGAAGCTACTGATGGAATTGAAAACACTGTCAGCATTTACCACCCCTCTTGTCAGTGGCAACTCAGTCATCTCACAAGCACAGGGATACCCGACTAAGATGGGGCTAGAAAAGGGCTGTCAGCATGTCATGGGTGCTAAAAAGTGAAACAAGAAATATAAAACTGTACGGAGGACCAAGGAAGAGCTGCAAGATCAAATTCAGAAGAAAAGGAGCACAAAAAACCCCCCTGTGGTTAAAGTAGTTTACTATGAGTTCAAATGTTAGCAGGTCTACGTGAAACCTCTTTATGATTGCCTGCAACATCACTCATTTAGGTATTTTGAACTACACACAAAGACAAGGCAGAGCCCTCACCTCCCTGAAGTTAATGACAAAACCTGCATGGACCAAAGCAGGGCTAAGATTTCACCCATAACAATCATGTGCTTTTGTTACACATTTTACATCTACTTTTCCCTTCTTTGTTACTATTCTATTCATTGGTAGGAAGTAAAAGCAATCCTGCTGGTATTCAGAAACATTATTTACAATTTCTGTACCAAGAGAAAGAGTAGGTCAGACTGCGGTAAATGTTTCAACTGATTTAGCCTGTTTTTCTATTTGCAGAAGCTTCTTCAATAGTATTAATCATTCATGAGAGATTGCTAAACACTTCTCAGGAACCATTTTCTAAGGATAGTGTATTTTCAACTACTTGCTTAGGTGCTGAACTTCTATCATGCAGTTGATTGTCTAAGCCTTCCAGTAATATGATTTGTTACTGGTTAGAAGTTTAAACAGCGTATTGTTGAGTGCCGAGTGGATACTAATAAATAACTTATTTTCAGCCCAGGGAAAAACATTCAGCTTTTAAGACTACTGAACAAATTCATGAGTACCCAGGAACTGTCTGAATATTCACAAATGGCTAAGCCTCGACAAATAAAGCAACCTGCATTTGGCATTTTCATTTGTAAAAGTATTTCTGAACCCACATTTGTTTGTTTGTACTTTTGCTACCATTTGCCAGCTCTATAAACAAAAGATGTTTCCCAGTGCTAACACTCAACTCATTTTACTGTTTGCATTTCAATAATACCTAAAAACCCCCAACACAGACCATAAGCTAAGACATTGCCCCCAAAACCCGAGTGTTTGCTCACCACCCTGATATATCTGTTAGTCTTCAGACTTTTTTAATAAAGTATCTAATTTATGCCAAAGAATGTATGTAAGCATTCACTAAATATACACATAGTGTTCAACCAGTCATAATTGCTGGGTTTTTTAACTGCAGAAATCATGACTTGTTTGTAAATTACCAAATCATATTAAATACCAAAAACGTGAATGAGGTGATTATTTATTCAGTCTTCCTAAAGGAACAAAAGTTTCCTTTAAAAAAATGAAAACCAGCCTTCCGATCTAAAGATAAGGCTGCTTCCCTCTTTAATAAACACAATAAAATGGTGCAGACATTTTTATTCCCTATAAAAATATTTTACAGTAGAATTTTATACTTAATTTATTTGTAATAGCTTTACTGTTTTGCTCTTCCTTCTGGCTTTAAACTTTATGGCAGGTTTCATTCTGCAATTATAATTCTCCACTTTACATTACAAGTAAATCATTTAGAGCAGTTAATTTTACTGATGTTGTCATTATATAAGAAGTCAGAAACAAACACATTATTTTAATTACTCTTTAAGCACTTGGCATCTTCAGCACATCGGTATGAAAGTAAGTTGTCGGATGGGTGCCCACACTATTTTATTTATTGATGTGATTTTTCCCTTGTATGTAGCTGTAATATAACTAACCAAACAGTATGCGTTGTACAGATACAGGCTTGGTATTTTCAACAACTATTTACATCAATAAGCAAGTGCACAATGCAAATAAACATTATTAAGATTGCAGAAAGTATCATTCTTGTAGCATCTCTTATTTTATTACCGCTGCTTGTTGTTTATTTCTCTTTTTAATACGTAAGTATTATGTATTAAAGTTATGCTAGTGGAGTGATCTTTCTCCCATCCTTTAACAAAGTACTTATACTTTCCAAATGGACTGATTTTGTATCATTATAGTAATTACTATTAGAAAGGCAGGAAAACAGTGTTCTTTGAATTCTTTTTGACTGGTCCATCAAATACCACATCGACAAGGCAATAACAATTCAGAAGGCTGTGCTAGAGCAATAACAAAACTATAATACTTACATTTGCACATGTGGGGGCTGAAAACGTCCCTGGTTAATGTTGTAGAACGTGAAAGCCTGTGTGGGGTTGGAGCTGTACTCATCCACTTCAATTATGAGTCTACTGTGCTGATGCCTTCTAGCTGCCATAATGTGCGACTGGGCGAAAGCCATGCTTGCACTGTGTAGTTCAGCTTTTTCAGGCAATCATAGCTGCTATCTTCCTACATCGACGGAAGAAGACCATGACATCTCCTTACCTCATCACCACACTCCCCTTCGAAAAACCTAAAAGCAGATTGAAAAGATGGATAACTGTTTGACAGTTAATCTGTTTGGAATTTGCTTTATTTGAGATGAAGATGAAGGGGGGATATGGAGGGTCAAAGACACACAGCTCAAAGAACTCATCACAAACCTTTCCAACCCAGCAATTTGTTGAACAGACTTTACTTGGGGGTGGGAAGCAGGGAGTGGAAGTAAACTTGCTAAAGAACACAAGAGCAAGTTGCTCAAGTATTTCAGTCATTTAACATAAACCTAAAAGACATGGCAGCCATTCTTCAGAATGGCGCATCAAATAATAATGCTTCTCCAACACAATAATTTACTTTCTTTTTATTGCATTGCTGAATGTTTATTCCTCATCCTTCTTCAAAAAAACCCCATCAAACCTGAAACTGAATACATAGCTGTGCACAACTAAAATGTGAATTAATTTAACAAGAATCATAGAATGTTTTGGGTTGGAAGGGATCCCTAGAGGTCATCTAGTCCAACCCCCCTGCAGTGAGCAGGGACACCACTAACCAGATCAGGTTGCTCAGAGCCCCGTCCAACCCGGCCTTGAGTGTTTCCAGGGATGGGGCCTCCACCACCTCTCTGGGAAACCCGTTCCAGTGTTTCACCACCCTCATTGTAAAGAATTTCTTCCTTATATCCAGTCTAAACCTACCCTGCTTCAGTTTGAAACCATTACCCCTTGTCCTGTCACAGCTGGCCCTACTAAAAAGATTTTCCCCCTCTTTCCTATAGGCTCCCTTTAGGTACTGAAAGGCTGCAATCAGGTCTCCCCGCAGCCTCCTCTTCTCCAGGCTGAGCAACCCCAACTCTCAACCTGTCCTCATAGGGGAGGTGCTCCAGCCCTCAGATCATTTTAGTAGCCCTCTTCTGGACCCGCTCCAACAGTTCCATATCCTTCTTGTACTGAGGGCTCCAGAGCTGGAGTCAGTTTAACCAATTCTTCAGAAAGTCTGTGCCATTTATTACAGGCAATCACTGCAAGTGGTTGTTCTTTACATCCAACGGAACAGAGCAAATGGCCTTCTGTGCACTTGCTCCTGCTTTTGCAGTATCGCTGAAGGAACTCCTGACACAGATACAACAGGGCTCCCCCCTTCAAACATATTCTCTCTTCCATCAGCACTAGCCCAACATTCTGGATTCACTGGAAAAGAAAGTGATTTAAAGGCTAACACACAGTTAAATGTTATTAAATATTAAAAAAGTGAAATCCATACAGGTTTTATGTTTGGGAATAAATTTTTCCCTGAAGGTTATGCAAGTCTAGAACAGCAGCACTGAAAATGGGTTGAGGAACAGCACAGTGAAGCCAACTGGAATGCAAAAAGTATCCCCTAGAAACAGCAGAAAGTAATTTAAATGTGAATTTTACTTTTATTTCCCAGTTTTAATAAAAAATGGATTATAAGCTATAAAGGTGGGTATTTTTCCAGTAAAATTCTGCATCCTTTTTAGAAGTTGTCTGTCTTAAATATTTACTTTCATGCAAGCGAGGGCTCTTTTCTTCTAGGGAATATAAGTAATCTGCTTCAGAAGATGTATTTCATGAAAAGCCATGCTAGAATGCAGCAATTCACTTAATATGTGCAGTTGCTGGAAAGCAAGACTACAAGTATTTTATGTGACCTTGCTGATGTGCCTTGCTTCCATTCTGAAGGGACCACTGCCAAGAGTGATGGATGAGGGAGGTCTTCATAGTCACTCAAATTTTTAAAGCTATTTACAGGTATTTCGGTCCAATTCAGTTCTAGTGGCAGTCAAGCACCTAAGCATCTTTAAAAGTCTGGGCTTCAGTCCTTTGCTTAACTACTATAGATGTTACGTGCTCCAAGAAGTGGTGGTGTATTTTTGTTTTGGGAAATCTTGTCCTTAGGAAACTGTAATGAGAGATTCAGCTCAGTTTTGTTACTTGCTGAATGGCTGTAAAATGATGACAACTTGCTGTCACTAACAACCCGCAGGAAAACAGCCTGAGAATAAAAGAGCAGATTCCTTCATGCCCTCCCCTAGAACTGAGTGCTAAGGAATTGGTAGAATAACAACAAAGAAAATTTGGGGTTTTAAAGACTCTCAGATGCCACGTTCAGGCTACGGAACAAGCAGCAGCACAAAGGAATGTACCAGAACAGGGGGAGAGGAGGGAGGCATGATCCTTGTAAGAATAATCAAGTACAAATTGCTGCATTTAGGAAATAGAAATTATGATGGCAGATGTGAAGAACCCTCCCTGAGGAGCTTCCTGTATTAAATGATGCATTTGTAAAGAAGTTTGAATAGGCAAGGTCAGAGATTTTATAGGGGGCAAACTGTTCTAAGTGAACCTACTTCTGTTTGAAAGAAACTATTAGAACTGGTGACCTCTAGAAATATTCTCGGGTAAGATTAATAATTTATGATTCCACAGCTCTACATAAGGATTTCAAACTACCTGAAAAACACAGCCTTTGTTTTCTAATTCAGGGATCATGCCCACTTTACACACAACTGAACTGCAGTTACAAAGGAGTTAAGGCACTGCCTTGGGGACCTAGAATCCCCCTTTGGCCTTAGTAAGTCCTCAGGAGCTCACAGCAGCTGAGAAAACGCCTTCTGTCAGCCTCCTCTTTGGGTCCTGTCTTTTATAACTTCTCTCAAGTTATACATCAAATCTGCTGCAGAAACAGCAGATTTATGCAGGTACCCCAATATCCACTCTTAAACTCTGCTTCCTTCTTTCTGGGTAAGTGGAAAATACCACTTCCCAATACAAACTAACTCAAAAGAACAAATTTGTTTGCAAACAGAAACAAATCACAGCTAGCACACTGCTGACATACCCTTTAGCGCTGAAGAGTTCTTTTAAGCAGGGAATCAATCCTTGCACATGGGAGAGTGTGTGAATCACACTGTTAGACCCGCTTGAGTGGATGCTAGCCACAGACATTCAGCAAGAAGTTCACCATATAAACATGCAGAAAACAGGAAGGCAACATATTTCACTTGAGGTAAGAAAAAAAAAAGGGGGGGGGGGGAAAGATATGCTACAGCATTGCTAAGCCTTCTGCCAAATGACAGTCACCCAACGTCAACCCTGGACACATAAAAAGCATCCAAGACTGGAGAAGAAAGAGCCAGATACTGCAATAAAAATAAAATAACTAGCAATCATATGAAGAGCCTGTGCTAAACAAAAATCAGATATGTAACACACATAATCAGTAAGCATAATTCAATAGCAAGCTTAATTCAAGCTCATTTCAGAAACATACACAGATGTCTTTGAACCTTACCTTTCAGTCTAGGGTTTTCTTCCTGCATAAGTGGTTGGCTGACTACTAACATTCTTGGTGTTCGACAGAACAAGCTGTCTCTTTCCAGCTTGACTGATAACCAGACTGACACCCATTACTCCCCTCTTTCTGTTTCCATTTCCAATCGTCCCCCAAATCGTAACTTTTTCTTTAATATTCTGAAATTTCTTCCTTTCCCAAACCAGAATATAAAATGCAGCAGGGAAATAATTATCTGCTTCTATAGCATGCAAGTTTTAAAATTATATGCCCAGCATTACCAACACAGAGCATTAAGACTCAAATCCCCACAGCAACAACATGCTAACCATCCTCTTCCCCCAGACTTATGGAGCTGCGGGATGTCTGCCAGGGAAAAACAGAGAAATGTAAAAAGGACTGCAAGAACATGAATACTAAAATAAATATCACAAACCTGGCTGTTAGAATCACAGACTGAGAAAAAGCTATTAAATCAGCTAAGCCATCCTCTTACTGATGGCAGGAATGTTCTCCATACATTATTTTTCTGCTGCTTTCTCCAGCATGTGTTCAAATGTTCACAGAGCTCTGACCCAAAGCCCGCTATGTACAATGGACACTGCTCCACCATCTTCAGAAGGCTTTGCATCAGGCCATAAACTATGTGGACTGCAACATCTCCTCTCCTGAGGAATTACAGCACCATGCAGGTGCACGAACCCAGACACACATTTAAGTCCTCTGATAATGTCCTCAAATAAATCTTTGTATTATGATTTTTGACTTTTTCAGCCTGAAATTTCTGGTATCTTCATCTCACAGCCTTCCTGTAATAGCTGGCATAATTATTTCCCTCTTATACATGAATTTTCCAGCCTATTTATGTATCCTATTTCTCTTTTTTCCCCATTTCAAGCCAACAGTTTATTTTAATCTCACTTCTTCACCCACAGATTCTGCTTCATTCTATGTCCATCCTCTAGTTCACTCTCATGCCCACTGTCTCTCGCCATACCTCATTGCATCGTCCCCACTGTTCCCTCCATCATATACCCTTTGTCTCAAGCCTAAAAAAAACCACCAAGACTTCTTGAAAATTATTCCAGCAACACAAAATATAAATCTAGACTTGAAAACAACAAGGCTCAAGCAGATGTCACTGAAGTGATAATTAGAAACTAAGATAAAATATTGATTATAAAGATGGTAACAAAAAAAGAGTTATAAATTAAGAGAAAACTGCGAAGGAATTATCTTTTGAGCAATGAACTTTGCTAGGTTACAAAAGATCTGGAGGTCAAGAAGCACAACATGGCTATAGCATACCCCAGCAAGAGTTGAAGAAAGGCAGTTGCCAGATTTTGCACTAGTAACAGTGAGATAACGTGAAGAAAGAAGAGGATGCTGGGACTCTTGGCAGTACCAGGATCAGTGGCAAAGAGGTAGCTACAGAAAACATGTTAGTTTTGTTCAGAGAGTCTGACAAGCTGGGATCTGGGGAGGCAATGAAGAAACAAAATGATGTATTAAAAAAAAAAAAAAAAAAAAAAAAAAGAGGCATTTTCATGCAGCTATCAAACATCAAAGCCATATTTTTTCAGGGGAAGCCAGTAAGACAATAGCAGTAAAATACCTTAGAGACA